TTCTTTCCCGCCCCTTTCTGTCTTCTGAGCTGTGCTTTTTGACCAGGGCTGCCCTTGGCTCAGGCTGTTGATTGTTGTGAGGGATTTGAGTTCGTAACAATGTATCCACATTGGAGCCTTGGGGGGGGGGGGCGCCCCCCCTCCGGACCTGGGTTACCAGTTGGGCTGCTAACTGCAAGGTCAGTAGTTGGCATCCCCCAGCCGCTCCACAGGAGAAAGATGAAGCATTCTACTCCGGCAAATGCTTCCTGTCTTCAGAACCCACTGGGCAGCCCTACCCTTTCTCACTGCGGTTGCCCCAGTCAGAACGGATCGCACAGCAGTGAGCACGGGCGCATCCGTTGTAACAACCACAAAAAGAGGCCAACCTCAATGCCATCGAGTTGATTCCAACTCACAGTAACTGTCTAGGACGGAGTAGAATCGCTCCTGCGGCTTTCTGAGACTGTCTTTCTCCAGCAGGACAGCAGCTGGGTTCCCCCTGCTGGCCTTGTGCTTAGCGGCCCAACAGGAAACCATGACAGTGCCAGCCAGGGCTCTCACTTGTCACTAGCAGTCCCACACCAATGCAAGCGATAATACAAGGAGATCTGGGGTCGGGATGGGAGTACAGCGGAACACATTTTCTGTAAGCCTGCAATTAAAATTAAAGTCTATTAAAATCGGCGGGGGTGGGAGGGAGGGCATCCCTTTCCAGCTTGCTGGAATGGTAGGATTTAGCCGGTCTTCAGCAGTGGTCCTTTGCTGGGGAAAAACGTTTAGGCTCAATTTGCTCTAAACTCCTAAGGTGTCCATCCTGGAAACACACGAACTGGGAGAAAGTGCTGGCGTCGGCTCACAGGCTTCCAGCTGTGATGGTCTGGTTGTTGGAAGTAGTGGGCATTTTGAACAGGGCTCTGATACCTTGGGATTCTGGGGAGTCCAGTCTTCAGGGGTGGGAGTCTTCTGTGGGAAACACATTCCTAGAGCATGTTCCTTCTGGTCCCCCGTTGGCTTCCACCTCAATGAGGAGCTCCCTCAATGCTCTGACCAGCCTCAGCCCTAGTCCGCCTCCCAGGAGCAGCATCGCAGGGTGTGTTTGCTTAGCAGGGGTTCTTCGCATCGTCTGTCATTAGCTCTTTCATTTGTTGGCTTTCTTGTTCCACCTCCTCTCCCACCCCAAGCTAGAATGTCAGTTTTCCTAAGGCAGGAACCCTGACCATCCTGTTGTGTCACCCAGTGGCACGTGATGGCCCCGGTCAATATTGCTCCAGAAGATGGCTCTGCCTGGTGGATAGCTGCTGAATCAAAAAGGAGATAGCACATGAACTCCAAGTACACGGTGGCTGATCAAGTAGACACATAGTCCTCCACGTGGAATGTGGACTATTGGGGAATCCTGCTACTCTGCTCCACCCAGCCCTCTCTTTGATTCATAAGAATCTCTCAGCTCACACCAAACTCAGTCCTGAAGGTCTGAGTCTTACTTCTTGAATATTTCAACCTCAAAGCCAGATAAGAAACTATACTCTTTGAATATTTACTTTTTAAAAACCCAATCACCCTGAGCCTCATATTTTAAATCAATCTTATTGGAACTAATTGCTCATAGCAGAAAGACTCCCTTCTTAAATAAATATATTTGAAGAATATATTTGGAGATATGAAATATATATATTGATGAATATATTTCGCTCTTCTTTCTTGTGGTTGTAAAGAAAGGAGTCCTGTGTTGCTCCTTAGAAGTGAGGCTGGTGAGACATTGCCTCACTTAGTTTGGCCAGTCCCTGGAGAAGGAGAGTCAACCATAAAGACCCTCCGAGAGACGAATTGGCACAGTGACTCCCACAGCAAGCTCAAAAGAGCGACCAGCGCAAGGGTGGCCCAGGGACAGGCAATGCTTGACTCTGCTTGTGTAGGGCCACTCTGTAAGTTGGAATCCACATGGCAGCCCCGCACAACTACTGCCTCCATGCCCCTCTTTTTGTATTAATGACCATTCTTCTGTTTTAAAAGGAGATCATTAACTATATTAAGCTTTGTTTTCTTTACCTGAACAAGCACATAAGTGTTTTAGGGATAAGGGAGAAAGGGATATTTGCTAATATCATGGCAAATGGAAACCTACACAGAGAAAGGTATATAATTTGTAGAATAGCTGAGTGGGCAAAATTCTGATTTTCAGTTGCCCTAGGCACTTCAGTGTACTTCTGATAATGATTTTCTTTGGGCATGTCGTTACACTGATAGAAATCACATCCATGCATACACAGCGAGCTTAATTACACATAGCTACAGACTTTAAATGAGGCTTTATATTTTTATGTATTCTTTCCTATTTATGAAAATGAGACATGATTCTACTTTCCCAAAAAGTGGTGTGTGCCCCCTCAGAGTACCGGTCTCACTGTGGGAGCTGTCCGTTTGCCTTCCCTTTTTCCCTCACAAACGATGTCCGTTGCACATAAGTTGGGGGCGGGGGGAGGGATGAAGAGATTTGCACCGGCTCTTCCACTGTCTGGTCTAGTCTGGTCCAACGACAGGAAGCTGGATTGAAAGCTGCCATTAGGTTTGGGATACAGTTGGTAGCAGAACCCAGTTAAGCGGTCCTGCTGAGAATGGGGAGGATGGGGCAGGACCAGACTGGGCTTGGATGTGGGGTCGCTATGAACCAGAGCAGATTTGGAGGCACCACCACCACCAACAACAACAACGATGACAAAGGTGAGGCTGGAAAGAGCCTGTCGGCATGTTGTGGCTGAGCACATGGTTGCTAACCAAAGGGTCAGTTGTCTGAATCCAGTGCCTGCCCTTCAAGAGGAAGGCATGGTGGGCTGCATCTGTGAAAGGCTGCAGCCCTGGAACCCCCATGGGAGTGCTGTAGGGCCCCCCACCCCCAGGAGCGGGAATCCACTCAACGCTCTGCAATGGAAACCACACATCTGTGCATCCTCAACTCGCTTGTACTGAGCCCGATCGTGTGAGCTCAAAATAAGAGGAAGAGCCAGAGTGGTGGAGTGCTGGCGTGTGCCCCAGGCACGGTGTTTGATGCTCATGTGTATTATTATTTTTAATTTCATGCTCACAATTCTGTGAGGTAGGAATCAAATGCCTACTTTACAGATGGAAAACTAAGGACCGGGCAATGTGTTAACATGCAAATGAACGCCCTTTGCCTGGGAGCTTCCCGTCCTAGCAATCCTGTATCTACCCAAGCCGAGCTGTCCAATAGGGGTTTCAATATTGGTTTCGAAAGTTGATTTCCAGGCCTTTCCTCTGAGGTGCTTCTGGGTAGACTCAAACCCTCAGCCGTGTGGTTAGCCACCAACATGGTAGCAATTTATCCCATCCGGGACTGCCAACTTGTGAAAGGCCCTGGTTACTAAGTAACAAACTGAAGATTCAAACCCAGGCAGTGAGAACCCTTGCTCCTGGCTACACGGGCATACACAACCCTGGGACAGCCTGACAGCAGGGCTCCCCTATAAAATAGTCAGGATCCAACCCAATAAAAATGACACCATCTAATCCCTCCCTGGCTGAGGTGAGTGGGGGAGTCTCAGCAAGGTCAGCCATTGGGTCCGAAGGCAGAGGCTCCCCATCTAGGACTCCCACTTGTTTGGGGTTGGTGAGAGGAGGTAGGAGGAAGGGACATCGTTTAAGGTCATTTTTGTGCTCCTTTTCCTGAGGGCCCATAGCTGCTACATCTGCCTGAGCGCTGCAGATGAAGCCCCCACGTGTGTGGGAGACATTTCTGATCAGTGGGGGGGTGGGGGTGGAGGGATCTGCCTGACATCGAGGAGGCTCAGCCTCTGCACCTTGGGGACCACTTGTAGTCATCTTGGGGAACGCTTGTGGCAGCTCCCGGCCCATGACGTCTCTGGAGGAGGGGGGCCAGAAACATCTTCAGCCTCTGCTCACCGTGTGCTGATGACAGAGGGCAATCATACCCACACAACTTAAAATACATAGAAGTAATATTTCCTGGGAAAATTACTGCCCCCCCCCCAAAAAAAAAGAAGTGCATGCAGATAGCTGTTAAGATTTTCCTTAAGGGAGACGTCGGACAGGGCAAGATATGACAAAATAATAATTTATAAATTATCAAGGGCTCGTGAGGGAGGGGGAGCGGGGAGGGAGGGGAAAAATGAGGACTTAATGCCAGGGGCTTAGTGGAGAGGAAATGTTTTGAGAATGACGAGGGCAATGAATGTACAAATGCGCTTTACACAATTGATGTGTGTATGGATTGTGATAAGCGTTGTATGAGCCCCTAATAAAATGATTTTAAAAAAAGATGTTCCTTAAGTTAGACTCACGGTTCAATAACTAGAGCTTCACATTTGTAGCTGGCACCTTTGGGAATCTTTATTTTGGGGGGTGGAGATGGGCGGGGGAGCACTCACAGTCTGAACACCTCTGATTTCCCAGAAGGCACGTGTTGCTTTGAGTTACGGTGGGGTCTGAGCTCCTGGCTTTCTCCCAGATGTTTGCAACATCTTCGACTTGCCCAAACAGTGATGCCATTAATGACACCGAAGGCATTGTCACCGGGAAGCAGATGGCGGTCTCATGGTGTGCAGTACCCTCCAGCATGTCCGTATGCAGCGGTTCCACCTGACGGGAGGGTGCAGCTTGCAGTTCAGTCACAGGCAGGGTTCATCAGGCCATGTTTGAATGGAGTCCAAATAATGTCAGGGAGGTAAAAAGAAACAAAAACGGTGAACCTGGAATCAAGACTGAAGGCTCTCCACCTGGTATCAAGACTGAAGCTTCTTGTGCGGGTACTGGCTGAGGTCATTGGCCAGAGATACTTTTACACCTCCCAGCATGCTCTTGTCTTCTCATCTGCCCCCCTTTTATGTCACTCTGAAAACATTGCCCCATTTGGTCCTGTGACCTTAAATCTCCCGCCCAGGACAAGAGAGGCGTTTTCAGACTCAGTTCATCCAAGGGCAACCAGAAGGGGTTTGTAACTGTCCCCACCCCCCTCCATGTTACTTATTTCATTCTCATTACAGCCGCTTGGGGCCAGTGACTACTTGGAACTCTCGAGGAATTTTGATACCGTGTTTGTACGAAACATTCCACAATTCACCCTGGCAAAGAGGACTCAAGCTCGGAGGTTCATAACTCTCATCGATAACTTTTATGATTTCAAGGTAAGGATGTAGCACATGGCTCCAGAGGGAAATATTTCGGACTCTGGACTAAAAATTGCGCCTGGCTCTCCCATTAATTCATCCATCTTTGCCTCAGTTCCCTTGGCTGTGAACTGGGAGGAACAGTAGCAAACACTTCCCAAGGACTAAATTAGCTAACTTCTGTGAAGCATTTGAAACAATACTGGGCACAGCTGTATGTTGTATGAGTAGTATTATTACTACTAGTAACAAATGTAGCATAGTAAAGCTCACTTCACAAAACACTTGGCCATACCAACAATTTCCCCCATTCCCAGATGGGTCGTGTGTCACATCTGTAAGGATGTGCAGTGTAATACCTTGTCCAGGGTGAGTGCCCCATCAATTATCAAGCACGATTCCATGATACTCACCTTCCCGATACGATCACTGAAGACAAAGTGGGTGCATAAGCAAATGTGGTGAAGAAAGCTCTTGGTGCTCAGCTATCAAAAGATATAGCGTCTGGGCTCTTAAAGGCTTGAAGATAAACAAGCAGCCATCTAGCTGAGAAGCAACAAAGTCCACATGGAAGAAGCACACCAGCCTGTATGACAACGAGGTGTGATAGGATCAGGTATCAGGCATCAAAGAACAAAAAATCATATCATTGTGAATGAGGGGGAGTGCAGAGTGGGGACCCAAAGCCCATCTGTAGGCAACTGGACACCCCTTTACAGAAGGGTTTCAGGAACAGATGAGTCAGGGTGCAGTATAGCACTGATGAAACATACAATTTTCCTCTAGTTCTTTAATGCGTCCTTCCCTCACTATCATGACCCCAATTCTACCTTACAAATGACTAGACCAGAGCATGTACACTAGTACTGATAAGAGCTGGAAACAGGGAATTCAGGACAGATAAACCCCTCAGGATTAATAATGAAAGTATCAATCCCAGGGAGGTAAGGGGAAGGTGGGGTAGAAAGGGGGAATGGATCACAATGATCAACATTTAACCCCCTCCCAGGGGAAAGACAACAGAAAACTGGGTAAAGGGAGACATTGGTCAGTGTGAGACATGAAAAAATAATAATAATTTATAAATTTTCAAGAGTTCATGAGGGAAGGGAAAAATGAGCTGATACCAAGGGCTCAAATAGAAAAAAAAATGTTTTGAAAATGATGATGGCAACAAATGTACAAATGTGCTTGACACAGTGGATGGATGGATGCATAGTGATAAGAGCTGTACAAGCCCCCAATAAAATAATTTAAAATAATAGTAACAAAATAAAATAAAAATAATATACTTTGGAAAAGAAGAATAACTCAAGCAGGAGTAAACCTTGCCTGATCGAATGAGGAGTGAACACGTGAGTGAATGCCACAAGGGTTCTCAGTCTGGGAGCTCGCTCTCCTTGCGACCCAGACACTCACTCTGTCACTAGCAAGACAGCACCGTGAGGCTTGGCTCTTTGTAATGGTGAATTGCAGAGCCAGTGGCTGGGCATCAGAGGCAGTATTGTCCAGTGGTTACGGAATGGGTCGTGGGGTCAGGCTGGCTACTCTGAAGACCAAGGTAGCTCCCCTGAGCTCCCATTTTCTTCTCTGTAAGAAGGGAATAACACTAGTCCTTACCTGAATGGGTGAAACAAATATCAGAGCACTTAGAATGTTAGCCGGCACACAGTAACACAGGTGAGCCTCTAGGAGTAGGACCTGTAGAGATAGATGTAAGGTGAAGGTTAATCCATGTTAAAGTTCATTTAGATAATTACTTTGATGTTGGGTACAACTACTCATCTCCCCATCCCTTGTACGGCAATAGAGCAATGGTTCTAAAATGCGAAGGGGCTCTGGGGAGAGAGGATCAGTAATAGAACCTGCAGGGGGAGAGGGGAGAGATTTCCGTGTTTCCTTTATTCTTCCATGCAGCAGTCTTTTTTTTTTTTTTAACAAAGCTACGTTTAATACTGTGGGGGGAACCCCACAGGAATAAAAACACTGGGAAGGGGTAACCCCCTCACCCCCAGGTGTGGTCCAGGGGGAGAGGGGCTACCCGAGGGGAAGGAAGGACAAAAGGACCCGCTGCAGACTCAGGGCAAAGGGCATGCCATCGGTGCTGGGACCTGTAGCACTGCAGGAGGAACGCGAGCGTGGTGGGACGGGCTCCAGGCACACAGGCGGAGGGCAAGAGGGTTGGACACGAAGCCACAAAGCTACTTGGGTTCCTCCTTCTTCTCTTTTGCCTTCTTCTGCTTCTGCTGCATGATCTCCGAGTCCCTCTGCTTGCGGGCAGCAGCAGAAAGCCCGTCATCTCGGCGCTTTCCTTCAACCGAGTCGCTCTGCTTTCATATTCTTCCGGCAGGCAGGCTCGCGTTGGTTACCGCGGGTCATGGCGACAGCAGCGGCTCCGGCCTGCCTAGGTTGCGTCCCCTGGTTCTGTCTGACGTTGCAGGCTCCATGCAGCAGTCTTTATCATGCCTAGCGCAGAGAGGCACTAGTCAGTGACAAGCAGGGGCAAGCATGGTCCCCGCCTGTGTGCAGTTTATAGGCCAGTCCGGAAACAACCATCAGCTATGCACAAAAGCCCACGCTGGGGGAGAGCGAAAGAGAAAGGAGTATGGTGCTGAGAGAGTCCAGGGGTGAGACAGCTGGTCTGTGATGGAGACTTGGGTCTGCGGCAGTCCCTCAGGAGACCACCCACATCAGAATCATCTGGGCTACTGAAGAGCTGGCTTCAGAGCCCCTTTCTCTTGCTGTGTCAGCCGATGAAAGGCAGCGGTGGAGCCTCTGACCCGCATGTTCCCAAGCTCCTCTAGTGTTCCCAATAAATGCTGAGTCACGATGGCTGAACTCCGGGCACAGGGTGAATGGCAGCACCCATGCTGGGATGTGGATGGGAGGCCCTCGAAGGAGGCCCAGCCAGCCATAGGGCATGACTTGAAAACCCTTTGTGTGCTCCCATAGGGCCAGCACACCTGTGAACAGGAGACTGGGAACCCCAAAGTCGGGGATCAAGACTCATTGGTTTGTTAGTGGCTTCCTTTGCCAGGTGCTCATGCGAAGACTGTGCCCTACAGTGACCAGGAGGAGTCTGGAATGACAGGAGGGAGGCTGGCAGGGGGCACTTTGCTTTAGAGGGCTGGTCCTTTCAGAGGAGACTAGAGAAGTGACAAATTGACAAGCTTCGTATGTATTTTTTAATTTTAGTGAAGGATAATGTGTTAGACAGGGTTCTCTAGAGAGATAAAACCAAATTGCTGATAATTTAATATATTTATTTATAAAGATAATTAGATATATAACAAGAAATGAACTGTTAAATCATATACAGATAAATATATAATACAAGGAAGAAACAGTTAAATTATAAGGCACTACAAATGGCTCAATTCAACTCACACCCGTGAGAGAGTTGTGAGAGACTAGCAGTCCTTCAAGACTAGTCCTTCAAGATCTGCTGCCAGATCTTCCTCTATTTATAGAGAGAGCTAAGCTATGTCAGCACAGCAGCCAATCAGAAGGCAGGTCACCAACTGCCAGTCCCCAGCTCCAGCGATCTCTTAAAGGGACCTCAACTTACAGCCACACAGTCCACAGGCTAGGCGTCCCACAGGTAGTGTAGCCTTTAAATTGAGGCACAGGACAAGCAAGGCAGCCACACACTGGTCCGATGATCAAAGAGCGGGAGACAAGAAAGGCGAGACTCACCAAGCCCTTTATCTCTCTGCCCTTCAGTTAATCTCGGCCAGGCTGGCACAATAAACTATCTCAGATACCATCAAGAAGGTTTTTGACTCCCATCCCTTACCCCAGGGTTTCTCCTCTTCCTGCCAGGAAGGGAGTTCTCCCCAGCAATCGGCCAGAATGCCCGAGCCCCTTGCCTTACAACTGCTTTCCCTCAGTCACGCATTTTGCATTTAGATGCTTTTTATAAAAAGCAGTTGCAATGGTGTGTTGTAGAAACTGGGGGCCCTTCAACAGACATTGTTCTGGAAAGGAAATTTGTGAGTAATGGTTTTCCCCTTGAGGTCATGAATGAGTGTGCCATCCGAGGAGAAAAGAGCTTGTAAGAGAAGGTAGCAACCTTGGAGGAAATATGGCCAGAGTGTTCCCTAGACGTGATAGGGTGAGCCTCCTCTTGCCTACTTTGGGGGTGTCCTCAGGAAGGACCAGCCTCTGGAGAAGGACATTGTGGTAGACAATGATAGACCAGACCGAGGGAGCCCCTCCGTCAGACGGGCTGACTGGGGCTGCAACCGTGGGCTGAATGAAGCCCAGCAACACTGGCAGGACGGCGCAGGGCCGAGGAGCAGGCTGTGCTCTCCTACCGCAGGCCACCGAGTCGGTGCCCACTTAATGCCACCCACCACCACCGCCGCAGGTCGAAGGTCATTGGGTATGGAAAAGCCAGCCCCCAGTGTCAAGAGAAGCGATGGATTTAGTTGTACTTAAAAATTGTGATTTTAAAAGGTAAAATGAATTCTGAAAACAAAGCCAGGACTCTAAGCATCAAGAGAGGTGTTTTATATAATACGGCGAGTGGGCACAACATTGATAAAAGGCCATTTAAAAATATATGGTCACCTAGGCACTCACTTATATACGGAATGTCCAGGAAATATTCATGTAGATCTTAATCCTTTTTCAGACTGTCCTGATAGGGCACCGGTATATGGTGTCAGTTCCAGAAACCCAAGGCATGATTACCATAGCAGTCGGCTATGTGGCCAAGTGGTAACCTCTCTCCAGTGCTTCTGGGGACATCTTTGGGACATAATCTGGCTCCAGACACCCAGGGATAAATGTCAACATCACAGCATGACAGCAAGGGCACTGCGCTTGAAACCAGAAGGTTACAGCTGATGTTAGGAGCGGAGACCTCTCTGGGCCTGAGCTGCCCCAGTGGACCTTTGACTCCCTATTTCCCAGGATGGTACAAGATGTGTGGGAAGGACTCTATTGAAGAGTAATCTCATTTTAGAGATACAAACTCCCAGGGGGGTGGGATGTGGACATTTTGTACAGTGAAAGTTAACAGATGTGTATTATGGGGAGGTTTGCTGGTGAACGTCAACTTGTGCCGTGTAAGGGGCAGCTCCATTCTCTCGTGCTCCTCTCTCTCTCAGGTGCGAATAATTTGCTCTGCGGAGACGCCTCTCTCCAGCCTATTTTTGCATCAACATCACGACAGTGAGTTGGAGCAAAGCAGAATACTGATGGATGATTTGGGGCTGAGCCAGGTAGGCGATATTAACATAATCTCTTTTTATGATAAAACAGCTTAATTGGTTTGGGTCTGATACATAGCTGCATCTTGAAGAAGGAATGCAGTATGCGTCTTACCACTGGCTTGCTGCTTTCTCCTAAGGCCATCCTAGCCCACTGAGCATTCCCAACCTCACTGACGTAGAAAACTGCCATCTTAGAGAGCGAGGAAACTGAGCAGTAGCCCCGCACTTGGTTTGACATCTGGCAGACTCAAGGCCAAAGAGGTGAGCTGCAGCCAAACAGCTGCTGGATGCCAGGTCAGAGGTGGATGCCAGGGCACGTGTGTCTTGGGGCAACTGCCCTAGCTCATTCTGCTGTGCCACGCTGCCTTTTCTGCAGATTCTTCCCCATGTTTCTGAACTTGTCAAGGGCATAATACAATATCCATGTGGGTGAACTGGCTCTGCTGGGACTGTGGAGGGCCAACCAGGCCCGTATTTTAAAAGTAGATCAGGAGTTGTATCCCACCTGTGGGTGGAGCATCTATGGGTACCAGACTCTGGAACACTCTCTAAGGAAAAGCAAGTGCTGGCCCAGTCCTCCCAGAACTTACAAGCCTGGTGATCAACAGACCCCACGCCTGCAGAAGCAACCACCTTTCCTTGCGTTCTAAGAACCTTACACAACATCTTTCTCAATTAGAGACAAGTCAAGCTTTACAAAGTCTCTGCCCACGCCCTCGCAATTCTCCAAATCCCTGAGGTAAAAGGCCATTTTGAAGGAGAAAATAGTTCCTCACTGACCTGAGTACAAAAAAGGCATGCTTCAGAACGTGGGAGAATCATATCAAGTGGTCCTTTGAAAAGTGAATTTTCAAGATGCGATCACTTAACCCGATATGCAGAAATAAACAGTCGACTGGGCTGGGACTTTCTGAAGGGGAGGGTCCTCTAGGAGCAATGAGTAGGTGTGTAGATTGCCCTTGATCATTTGAAAGAGTACATTTGCGGGGGTCCTAGTTACTAGTGCTGCCGCAACAGGGATACCACAGCGAGTGAGTCTGAAGGACAGAGTCCACCCTCTTCCACTCCAGGACGCTTGGGGGCAAAAGTCACAGACTCGGGAAGGTGGGGGTGGGGAGTCCTGTCTTGTCTGGTTCAACTTCTGGTTGCTGCCAGCAAGCCTTGCCGATCTGCCATTGTCGGCTGTCTTTCTCCTGTGTGTGTCTTTGTCCATTCTGATCTTTTCATGACTCAGAAGTGATTAGATTTGGAACCCACCCTCCTTGGTTGTGGCCCAATGAGCAACATGTACAACCCTACTTCTGAGCACGATCATTTACAGATATGGGGCATAGGGTTCAATGCATATATGGGGGCAGGGGAAGGGACAGAGTTTAACCCTTAACAAAGAGCTACATTTTCTTGGCTTCTACAATTCTTTCAATCATTTGGCTATTATTTCCCTACACCCCTCAAGACCTGGATTCAGACACAAGGCAGATTATGCTCATGAGTTGGGGGTCATAATATATGAAGAAATCAGAATAGCACCTCCCAGGGAAGATAGATTTAGGAGTCCAGGATTTTTCTCGGAAAGAGCCTAAGAACCAACCACTCCCCTCAGCAAAGAGAAGAAAATACAAGCCCCCTAGTGGCCATGAGCCAACATGAGTGGTACCAGTGCTGGACTGGCCAGCAGCCTGCAGGGACAGGACCCCCCACTTAACCCTGCCTGGAGGGATCCAGCCTTTCAGCAACCACGAGACACCCAGAGCAGCAGTGGCCTTTGTAAAGGAAGAGCCCACTGGGGACCTTTTGGAAAACTGCCTCGGAGACTGGGCCTCCACCTTCCCCACAGGTGTGGAGCCTGCCCTGCCCCCGATGCTTCCGAGAAGGACCTTAGCCAAAGCCTCCCAGCTTGTCGGCACAGCTGTTCATTGCTGTTCTTGACTTCCGAAAAAAGCGAAAAATCATTTTCTCATGGAAATGTTCTTTCATTCAATTTTACCGAGATCTTTAATTTTAAGGGAAAGCGTTCCTATTTGGATGTTTCTGGTGTTGACAGAAATACTTTTGATGATTTCCCTTCCACGTATTCTTCCCTGGTCATTCCTTCTGTTGGCTGGCTGTTGCTGTCAATCAGTGGAGCTTCTGGTCTATTTGAGTGTGCCTTCTCCGACAGGCTTCCAACTTTACACAGGTCCCAGCTTTCTCCGCACTTAAAGAGCGTAATACTTGGGAGGGGTTGGGGTTGAGGGTTTATTGTGCGTGTGTGGGGGGGTGTGATTTGTGAGGGTGGGCGAGTTCTGCCGGTGAAGCTATTTCGAGAAACGTTTGTCATTTCAAAAGCTGCTTAGAATCCTGTCCTCAGTTCCATCCGTTTTCATTGGTGTGTGGGTGGGTTGTTTTCTAACTAGGACTCAGCGGCAAGCCTTTCCATGTTCACGGGCGAAGAGGAGATCTTTGCCTCCCAGCGAACACTCTCCCGGCTCACGGAGATGCAGACGGAGCAGTACTGGGTCGAGGGCGACCGCAGCAGCAAGAAGTAGCGGCCTTCCCGGCGCAGCCAAGCCAGCGACACACGGCCTCGAGCAAGATTCGAAGCCATCCCTTTATCCTCGCTGGACCATCGGTAGCTAAAACTGCTGTAAAAAAAATGTTGCGGATTCATCAATTTAAGCCCTTTTCATAAGCTTACTTTGTGGGGTACTGGGGTGCTGGGGGAGGGGGTATTTACTTAGAGTCCGGTCGGTGGCACCTCTTCGGGAAGCAATGGAGGACCCGTGCGCATCTTGTAAGTCCGCCTGAGTGGCCCAGGAAGTGCACAGACCCTCAGGGGCCCAGAGTGGCTGGGTGGCCCAAGGTCTGGCTGCAGAATCACAGCTTTCATCCAAGGAAGATCGGCGGCACCGTTTCTTTTCAAACCAAGGAAGGTGGTGTGATTTATTGATCACAAGGTGAATACTGTTTCAGAACACAGCGATGAGAACTTCATAAAGCCACGCCTCCAGGTGTCCAGCAGGGCAGAGTATGTCCTTGGCCCCAGAGGGAGCGCCAGCTGGGCAGGCAGGGACCCATCTCAAGCTAAGTCAGGATTGCAGAAGCAATGAGGCTTTGGCACCGTGGGCTTTAGAGCGCGAGTGTTCAATCCCCAGAGCACATCATCCTGAAGACCCAGGATGGAACTTGAAGGGGGCAGAAGCACTGCGGCTCAAGGGAGGCCTGCAGGTCTGCAGTGGACAGGTAGGCCCTCGGCACACCGGGTGCATTTGTGCTCCCTGCAGCAGGCCACACCCGGGACCCACGCTAACCCCTCCCCTGCTGCTGCCACTGGCCGCTGGCTGGCTGGGGAATAGGAAACACTTGCCCAACCTGTTTTAAATCAAGTCTGCTCTGCACTGGGGCCTTTTCTTGACTCTGAAAGACGACCCGACCTTGCTAACTATTGCCACAGAGGGAAACGTGGCTGAGACTCTTGGGTCCAGATCCTGCTTTTAAACAGGTGGGGCTATTATAACTCTTGAAAATCAAGCTCTTGTTTGGGTCAGCACAGGTGAATCCGTTCAAATAAAAGGTTGTACTGTACTAGTCAATATAAATAAGCTGTGTAAACCTATTGAGCCTGTTTAATGTATTAATAACCCATCCACACCAACCTATGGTGGACATGACCCTACTACATAAGTCAAGCAATGCATGGGTTTGGGACCCACGTTAGAGACAGGATGAGAACTAACCAGGATGAGAACTAACCAGGATGAGAACTAACTAATGCTAGCTGTGAACTTTATCCGAGGGGCCCTGGTGCCGTTGCGCTGGTGTGGGAGGAAGACCCCTGAGGTTTTCTGCTCACAAAAGGATTCATTACCTGGGAAACACAGAGAAGCAGTTCTACACTCTGCAGGGTCACTGTGAGTCAGAATTGGCTCACTGGCAGTGAGTGTACCGCATGATGCTGGTATTACTGACAAAGAAACAAACCCGGGGAAAGTTGCATCGGGGAGTCACAGCTTTGGGGCACAGAAGTCATGTCTTGTATCACACTGCCGCCTATCACTTGGGGGTAGGTAAAAAGAAATCATTTTAATGTTAATTTCACTTTCTTTAATTCAGTGGAGATGAATTTGTAACAGAACCATTGCTTTTGAAGTCACTAAATATAAAATATTTAATTCTTTAAACCTTAGCTTTTTGCTTTTCACACTTACTTGACCATGCTTCTGTCCCTTAATGAAAAGATGGCCTGGACAGACAGATGGACAGCCTGATCGACAGAAAGAGGAAAGAAAGGTCCCTGAGTGTATGGGTGTAGATACAACAGTAACACCCCACCCCCAGCCCCGCCCCTGTTCTTTTGTTAAGAATCGCCATCAGGGGTCAGGTATTCGGAAACACAATTTTGTTTTCCACTGAAACAATAATACAGTTAGCTGGCGCCCTGGCTCAGCGCACAGAGGCCTGTGTGATTCTCGGGGTGGCCGTCTTTGCCTGTTGTCATGGAGTCGGCTCCCCATGTCTAACGGGCGGAACACCGACTGGGCCTGGGCCATCCGTCTTCCCTATCAGTGCCAGCCCAGTGCAGCTGCCCTAGCATGTCCGCACCAAAGAACTTAGACGCCATAAAAGGGTTTTCTGTGGGGTAGAACTATAGTTCCGGCTCCTCCAGAGTCCCCGGAGCCTGTCCCCACTTCTGCCCCCCATTTCCTGTCCTGTTCCCCGGGCCTGTGAGAGAGTCCACAGGGGAAGAGGCTTTGGAACTGGGGCTAAGGGTTATGCCAAGAGCAGGGCTGCTGGCAGGGGGTTGGTCTCGAGGAGGAAGGGACGCCGAGTGAGAGGGAATGTACACCCTCCTGCTCCCACCTCCTGACTCCAAGGTCTGTGTTATAACGAGAAACAGAAGCAGGAGCCTCACAAAACAGCCGTGGTTACAAGCAAGCGGGATAGGCGTTCTCCTACCAAGAGACAGAAACCCAGACTCCTGCTCTGGAAAGCGGCACTTCAAGTCCTGCCCTCTTCTCCGGAGTCCTGCCTCTTCTCTATCATCTGCCAGCATGCCAATCTTTCTGCCTGGGCTTTCTAACATCTCTCCCTGCAAAGGCTCCTGTTTGGAGTGCATACAATCTCCACATGAAGAGGGTGGTTTGGGGCAAGTCCTGCCATGGACTGCTCCCCCACCAGGGGACTCAGACCAACAGTGGTGGGGAATGCGCGGAGAGCTGAGGGGTGCCCTCAAAATGATGGCTAGCGCCTGGGTTTAGAAGGCGCAAAGCAGAGAAAAGGAAGGCAATTCCTAACAAAAGCAATGTTGGATCACAGTGTTATTCTTAGCTTTCCGCCGCTGTGGGTGAGCTGGCTTGCCGACGTCAGTGATCACAAGGAGAAAAACATGGTGAATTCCAAAACCTGTTTCTAATGTGTAATTAAGCCCAAAGAGACCACCGTGCCATTCTAACCAAATCTCTGCATTTTCCGTGGGATTTCCCATTTTGGTCACATGACATTCTTGGATTCTTTCTGAAGTCTTTTTCCTGGACTGACATTTTAGAATGTCAGTTATTTAAAAAGAATTTGGAATTCAAAACAAAACAAAACAAAAATAGTGTTCCACTTGCCGCCTCTGTAAATCGCTGTACACATTTCTATTTGTTTAGTATCAGTTGTTTCACCGAAGGAACCGTTAATGCTTAGTGCGTGTCTGGCCCGGTTCAGCTTGCCGTGAAGATACATGCAATCCATCCTCGGTGATCCTGGAGCCAAGGCATCAGTGGTTTTCACACCCAGAGGCCGAGGCACAGAACATGGGGATGGCCGAATATTAAATTGCTAAGATGTCTATTGGAACCAAACTTGTCATTCAACTTTCCATTCAACTGCCTCCGCCCTGGAATTGTTACAAGGGTCAGTCAAAAAGTATTGCTGCTGGGGTTGCAGATCAGACATGCAAAACATGTTCACATGCATCTCTGTAATCCAAGTTATCTCAGTAATATGCTCATCTTGGTCTCTCTCCTGAGGGTGCCTTCGAAAAAGGGTCAATCAAAACTGTGGCTTCTGAGGGGACCTGCTGAGCCAGGTCAAGTCCGGGCAGGGAGGTCAGCTCACGAGCTTGTGGTGACTCTGTTTGGGATTTCTAAGGGATAATCCTAACAGACACAAGACAATCATAAGAACTTCTTAGAAAGAGGTTGGAAAGTTTAAGACATTTGTAAAGTATCCTGAGGAAACAAGGCCAAGAAAGCTGCCTTTAGGAAAGGTGTTCCCTGTCAGGACCACGTATCTGTTCACTCGGAGCCTGTCCTATGCGAATGTTGTTAAACCTTCTCTCTCCGTCCTATATGACGAATCTTACTTGTTTAGATTTCCTTTTGTTCCCCAAACCCAAAGAACGTTGAAAAGGAACATGATTGGAATCTTTGGATCCAATGGCTTTTCTGAAGAAGGATACATCTTAGGAACACAATTCTTGGGGGAAAGGGCTAGGGAGATAGAAACACTGCTTCGGAAGGACATGACTCGAAATGGAGCATCTGTTGAGAAACAGTAGCTTCCCGCTTCGATACTTTTCTTAGTGATGGTTTCCGCGACTTTACAGCAACCCTGTTTTTCGTCCCTGTAGGGTCACTTCGAGTTGGAACGGCTTCTGTGGTCCTGAGTTTGGTTTGGGGTTTGCTGTAGGCCCCACTCCCAGCGATGATGTAGCTAGCCTTGGCCAGAATGGGGGCTTCGGCATGAGAACTTAAAAAAATTTTAACCCAAGTGATTTGAGCCTACTACACCTGCAGCCCCTTCTTCTGAGATCAGTGATCAGGCTCCAAGTCTCAGACCTTTGGGTCCCTGCTCCATAATAGGAATCCAGTGGGCAGCAGCAGGTCTGTAAGAGGTCTGTAATAGTGATCAGAATCATGAATTTCACCAAGACATCACTTGTTAGTAGCAAAGGACTTTTTTTTTTTTGAGATGAGCTTACAACTTTGTCTTTAAAAAGACCATTTTATTGGGACAGAATCTACAAATCATACGATTCAATACTTCCATCATATCAAGAAGAGTTATATAACTTTATCTGAAGGCAGAAGTTATACAACTTGATCAGCGTGCGCGCACCCCAGGAGTTGGTGAATGCGCTCGGCTGCTAATGGACCGCTTGGAGCTGGGAGTCCATGTAATAGAGTTGCCCAGTAAGAAAGGCCGGGTGATCTGGTTCCTGGAAAAACAGCCATTGACAACCCTTTAGAAAAAGAAAGAAGGAAAACCCTGTAGAGCACAGCCCTGCACGGAGGACACCCAGGCTCATCCATGCCAACTCGTCTCTGGCTTTTCCCCACATGCAGCCGCTCTCGCTGCTGGAGCTGAGACTAGCAAGGATGGAGACCTGCCCGCTCCTAGTGCGCGCGCCAACTCTGTGCGTCCGATCAGCGTGCGCACGCCTGTCACCTCTGTCTCTCACGGCCCCAACCCGGCTGGCTGGCTTCTTTCGTTTTCCAGTTGCCCTCCGAATTCTCCCCTTTCAGGACTGCTTTCTGGCGGCGCAGGGGATGCATGGCCGTGGTTCTCAGTCCTTCCCCGAGGAGCACCAGCAGCTGGACCTGGAGACCCGTGCTCTGCCGCCGGCTGCTTTGTGACCTCCAACGAGGCCCTGCTCCCAGCGGGGCCAAATAGGAACAGCCCTGCCGGTCTCATAGAGTTATTCTGAGGACAGTTGGTGGAAAGCACTTTGCACGTGTTCGGGGATTAAAGAGGGGGTGAGCAAAATGAGCGATGATCATAAAGCTGTACTTGCTTTATGGAACTTTATGAACTTGCTTTATGGAACACGAAACGGTGAGAGACACGTCCCAACCTAGTCCGGCTCCTAGCAGGAGGGAAAGGAGGCAGGTACGTGACTAGACACCCAGGGCATGGAATTCGGCTGAATCCAAACAGATGCCCTCTGGGTGGTTTAATAGGGATAGTGGATTGTTACAGGCCTCAAAGATTTCTCAGCAAGAGGACACCATCTTGTGGTTATTGTGACGAACTGACAGAAAACTCAACCCAAGGAGGTTGGCAAACAGTAGTTCTCAATGTCCCTTTTCCAGGAGCCCTGGGGGTGTCCTGGGTTTAGGAGGGGGGCTGCTAACCACAAGGCCAGCTGTTCAAAACCAACAGCTGCTCCAGAGGTAAAAACGAGGCTCTGTGCTCCTGTAGAGACAGATAGCCTTAGGAGCCCACTGTGTCCTCCGGTAGGGTCATTATGATTGGAATCTTCGGCCTCCGTGGCCAGGAGTTTGGTTTGGGGCTTGGCGTAACTCCCTCTCCTGGAGATTCAGCTACAAACTGGCCATAATGAGGGCTTTGGCATTGGTACTTTTTATCTCCTCGCCCCAACACACAGAACTCTAAATCCCCACCAGCCCCACTGCGTTCTTGAACCTTTAATATTTTCTTACTTTTGTATGGGCTCTTGGCCACTGTGAAAATACTAGGTGGACAGGTTGACATTGCTCATAGGACGTGCCACTCAACTGGTGAAGAAAGCGGCTTCAAATGAGCTAACGCTTGGCGTTCAGCCACCAGTAGTTTCAGATTTTGAGCCCGCTACAAGTTATAAAGGCCATCTGCCCAAGAATAAAGTGGGCGTTGAGACAAAGCCCGCTGTCAAGAGCTGAAGTCAGCGTGTAGATGTGGAAGAAAGACAGGCCGTCTACTCCTGTTAAGATTTAAAGTCTCAGAAGCTCAAAGGGGCGGTTCTCCTCTGTCGGAGGGGG